GGCGCGGCCGGTACCAACAAGGGCAGGAGAAAACCGGCCGCCGCCGCCGCCGCCTCCTGCTGCAGCTTGTCTGCCCCCGAGACTCGGCAGGAAATGGCGCGGCGAAGGAGCCCCAGCCGCCTCTCCCCGCCGCGTTGCCTCCCGGACACGTACAGCTCGGAGCCCGAGGCGGCGGGAGGGGAGGGCGGCCTGGGCCGTCTCAACCTGCCCCAGACATACCGCGACGAAGCGGGGACGCTGCTGCCCCGCAAGGGCAAGGCCAGGGGCGCTTCCGCGCAGTGCTACAGCAAGCCCCCTTCCGCCGCCATTGTGGCCGCTTCCGCTCACCCGCGCCGCCTCCCCGCCTGGCAGCACCTGGCCCCGGCCGGCGAAGGCGGCGGCGCCACCCCTTGCACCACCTCGTGTACCACCCTCTACGGCGGGGACCTCCAAGGGCCGCCGGAGCTCCCCAGCCGCTCCCCAGCGAGCAGGTGCGCCCGAGTGGAGGAGCTCCTCCGTGAAGACCATTGGGCCAGCCCCGTGCCGCGGCCGCTGGAGTATGGCACCGATTTCCCCACCGACGCCAGCAAGCCGCCCTCTGTCTGCCCCTCTTCCTTCTCCTTCTCCCAGATAGACCCCAAAGCCTATCCCAAGAAGGAGGTCAAGGCGAAGGAGTGGCAGGAACCCTGTGACAGCAGCCCCAGCTTGGCTGACCTCATGCACTCTCTGAAACAGTATGAGGAAGATTACCTCCCTGCCCAGCAGAATCTCCATCACCACCATCACGGGCGTCCCTACAAGTCTAGGAAAGGTGACACCCAGATCAGTATCCAGGATCTAACTGATAAGAAGTATGAGGATTTGATTCCTGAAAGGGACAAAAAGATTGCAGCACTGATGCTGGCCAGGCATCAGGAAGAAGAAGAGATGAAGGACAGGCAACTGCAAGTCTCTGAGGCTTGGGAGAAGATGAGGCGGAAGGAAAAGAAACACAGAGCAAGGTTAGAGAAGGACAGGCGGTATCAGCTGGCTGAAAGTATGGAACAGTGGCAAAGGGATCAGGATCAAAGGAAAGACAAGCTCAGGTTAGAGGAACAACAGCTGTTGGCAGCTAGGGAGAGAGAGATGATGCTGCGTGACAAGAAGTGGAAAAAGCTAGCCAAAGAACAGGAATGTAGGCGCAGGGAGAAATGTGAAAATTCCAGACTTCAAGCTGAGTATAGGAAGCATTGCCAGGAAAAACAGCTCTGGGACAAGAGGTTAAATGAAAGGAATACCCGGGATCAGAACTCTCACTTGTACAAAGAAAGGATGCTACAGGCCTTGGAGAAGAGGCTGATGAAGGAAATGGAAAGGAAGAGGAGGAAAATAGAAATGAACGAATGCAAGAGAGACAGGTACATGCAGTTGAAAGACCAGATGGATGACCAACTCAAAGCTGATGAGCTGTATAAGAGACTCTGTATTGAACAAAAGCTTCAGAGGTCACAAGAAATCCTTGAGCAGCTGCTTGAAGAAAGGAATAGAGAATTAAAAGAAAAGGCTTTCAAAGAGGAAGAACAAGGCATGTTAGCCAAGGTCAGGGCAAAAGAGACAGAGGAAGAAAGGAGGCGGCGTAAGGAGATGCTGCTGCAGATAGCTGAGATGAAGATCCAGCAGGCCAGAGAAATTATGTCCAAAAATGTCCAAGATAGAGCACAGCGTATGAGAGAAATTAATTGCATGAGAGAAAGAAACCACCATTGCCGCAAACAGAGGCTTGATTATGATGAAAAATACCACTTAAGAGAAATGCAAGAAGCTTTACGAAGGAAAGATCAGAAAAGCAATCAGATTCTAAGGCACAAGGATGCAGCTATTAAAGAATCCAGGAGAATAGCCAAAGCATCTTATGACCTTAGAGACAGAGTGAGAGATCTGATAAACCATAATTCCTTTGATCAAATGGCATTAGATGCCCATCGTAATGCAAGTCTCCTGAGAGGCCTTTAATGATATGTAGGAATACCTTCCAGACCATCTTGTGCCAGAAAAAGATGGTTGTAATGTGTTTGTTTTGTAAAACTCTGCATTCATGTACTGTACACTAAAGTGGTTTTAGCCTTAAATACTGTTTGACTCATAAATGTTTGGGAGGATTGTGGTTTAAAGGTGTTTACAACACATAGTTTTTTAAAAAACCTATCACTTGCAGGTATTACTTCACTGTGAAATCAAGTGTCATCCTTCCTTAATCCTAGTTATTTTTAATTTAAGATTGTTATAATAGTTTTTTAAAACTATATTTTATTATGAATATCTGGAGTTGTTGACAAATTTTGTATTTTACATATGGCTATAATGCTATAAACTTTACGCATTAAAATATGCATCAGTTATATATTGAAAACAAAATCTAAGTGAAAGTTATTCCAACATTTTTATATTCAAAGAATATGTGTATAGAGAAGGAGAGAGAGCTGAGGGAATTATAGTCTGTAGTCCACAAAGACAATTAATCACTAGACTTACCGTATTTAATTGTGCCTTATGAGCTTATTGTGGGCAGGACAATAGGGCAATTATAATTTGGTTAAATATTATGAATATTGTTTTAGCATATAGCTATGTTGCCAATGTTACATTTATAGTGGACTGAAATCAGAAAGTTTGTGAAGGACGCTGCATAAAAAGAAATCCAGTTTTACTGCATTTTAAAATAAAGGCAAATCAATATATTTTCATATTGTGAAAAGTAGAAATTATGTTACTTGATGTTTATTTATTGTTATTTCCTTGTGATGTAACTTCTTGTCTAATACTTGGTTTATGCACATGTTGAATTAATATGTTTCTTCTTGACATCCTGTAACCAGAATGTCTTAATGATTACTGGTCAGAAACCTATAAATGTTTGAATATGTTTTGCATTACTTGCTGCACCTAATTGCCGCTAACTGGTGAAGTGTACACCTGATTCTGCAGCTGAGACATGCTCTGGATACCTCATCTGTTAGCTGCAACATTTTTTAAAAAAATTGTGCAAACACCACAAGGATTCATAGATAAGGTTCTGTGATATTTGGTATATTGATCAAGAGAATTTTAAAAAAGACATTGCAGAACTCTGTTGCTTTGTTTCTTTGGCATCAGCTGTCAAACTATTCCCATATATGTAATGTAATTCAAATGGTTTCAGAGAGCTTCCAAGTTAAGTGACTGTTCAGCTGAGTAATAAAAAAAGTATATGTGTGAGGCTGGCAGTACCCCAAGGGGCACTCCTCAGAGTGTATCATCTGCCTCCTTGGCTGAAGACCCTGAGGGACAGATGCCCACCCTGGAGGAGAACCTAAAGGGACTGTGTTTGGAAGAGCATGGGCAGAAAGAAAAAGAGAAGAAGGAACTGCCAGAGGGTGTCATTTTGCAGAAAAGGGAGAGGAGAAAGGGGGCAGTTAGAAACTGAAGTGGAAGAAGCATGTTGGATGGACGAAGAGGAGGATAAGAGAAAAAAGGAGTGGGTGGAGATAGTTCAGCAGGAACCCTGGACAGTGGAGTGGGTGGGGTTTAAAGTCCCAAGGGAGTATTCAGAGAAAGAATGGAGGAGGAAGACTTATAGAAAGCCACCTTACTGGGATGAGAAGGAAGAGAGAAAAGAGAGGAGAAAGTTCAGGGAGTGGTAACAGCAGGAGGCACAAAGAAGGGGAAGCAAGCTGTGTCCAGATCATCCTGGGAAACCTCGGTTTTGTCTCAACTGAGGATGAGACAAAACCCAGGCAAAAAAAGTATGGGAACCACAGGTAGGCTGGGTTTTCCACCCTCCCCAATAAGGTCAGCTGCAGATGTACCTCATAGATTGAGTGTTCCACAGAGGTGGTGTTATAGAGACTCATGTTCTTTGTTGTTGTTCAGTTTTTAAGTCATGTCTGACTCTTCGTGATCCCATGGACCAGAGCACGCCAGGCCCTCCTGTCTTCCACTGCCTCCTGGAATTTGGTCAAATTCATGTTGATACCTTCAATGACTTCTCCTCTTGCCTTCACACTTTTCCAACATCAGGGTCTTTTCCAAGGAGTCTTCTCTTCTCATGAGATGGCCAAAGTATTGGAACCTCAGCTTTAGGATCTGTCCTTCCAGTGAGCACTCAGGATTGATTTCCTTTAGAACGAATAGGTTTGTTCTCCTTGCAGTCCAGCGGACTCTCAAGAGTCTCCTCCAGCACCACAATTCAAAAGCATCAATTCTTCAGCAGTCAGCCTTCTTTATGGTCCAGCTCTCACTTCCATACATCGCTACAGGAAAAACCATAGCTTTGACTATGCGGAACTTGTTGGGAAGGTGATGTCTCTGCTTTTTAAGATGCTGTCTAGGTTTCTGTACATAACAACCCAAAATTCATGATTTTAAAATGAAAGTTGGGATTTCCAGGATGTCCTTGCACAATGCACTCATCCTGGCTCTTGATCAATCACAGTAAAATCAAGTTTTTAAAACATCTATTGTTAGAAATATACAGACTATACAGATCAGATTTAACAGCAGTGAGCTGTTTATACAGAAGAAAAATAAAATAATATTCCTTTAAAATAAGATCTGTGTCGTAGTGTTGATCTAGTGTTACATTTGGGCAGCAGAGCTAAGAGAAAAGAAAAAGAGGCAAGTTGTGTTGAAGTGGGAATATGCAGATTATCTTCCTCTTGCACTATTTGATGTGGATATTGTGCTTTATGAACTAAAATTCATATTTTTTTTGTTTACACCTGCGATACTTTATGTGGTGATTTCTTCTTAGCATTGAAACCTCTGTTTGGAGCTTGGATGCTATCTGTTGTTGGCCTCCATACTGCTCACGTCCCTGAGTCGTCCATCCAGGAAGATCCAGATAAAGAAGAAAAGGGAATTACACCAGATCACGATTGGTTACTAAAGTATCAAGGTTGAGATCTACATCCTTTGTAAAATTGGTTATATCATTTTCCTGCGGTCAAGTATGATGAAGAAAATAAGTCATATGTATCTTGGTCAATATCGGAATGGGTTTTTTAAAAGTACCTATTTCTGGATCTTAGCTTTAGGGCAGGGTGGTCATCATCTTTACCCCAAGGGCTGACTTGTAGTGATTGGTACTGGATCAGGTATCACATGGTAGCAGTGGGTAGTGGTGAAGGTAGTGGGTGTGGTCAAGGCTAGCATTCCACCTTGTACACACACACATCCATGGCCTCCCCTCCAGTACTTTTCTATGCATGCACTGAAACCTTTCCCAACACAAACCCAGACATATATACCCAAGGACACACAAATGTGTTCCTCCAGTGTGTGTGTCTGGATGTGTACTGTGTTTATGAATGTGATTAGCCTCCCTGGTATGCTGAAGCCATGCTATGCTGCCTCCAATGGCAGCCGGTTGGGTGAAAATGTGCAGTTTTAAGTGAGGAAGGTATTCGGGTATTGATTTTTTTTCCCTGTACATCACTGTAATGTAAGGCATGTCTCCACTAGCTCACCAAATTGGTGAGCTAGTGGAGCAGCTGGGTGTTCTCTGGAGGAGGAGTGTGCCAAATATAGTGATCTCTGCGTATCACCTGCCCTATTTAAACCATATACTGTACCTACCAAATGTTTTGTAGGTTTTGAGAATACATTTGAACAGGGAAAGTAACATGCAGGGTGATTCTTACCATTCGCTGCCCTCTGAAAATGACAACAGCAACATTTTCCCCTGGGGGAAATAACAGTGAAGGTCTCCAAGTGTTCACCCAGTCCAGAGGTTAACTCCATGTGATCTAAGGCAGTGGTCTCCAACCTTGGGCCTCCATATGTTCTTGGACTTCAATTCCCAGAAATCCTGGCTAGCAGCGGTGAAGTGAAGGTTTCTGGGAGTTGTAGTCCAAGAACATCTGGAGGCCCAAGGTTGGGGACCACTGATCTAAGGGATGAAAGAAAATGCTTAGTACAGTGGTACCTCGATTTAAGAACTTGATCCATATTGGGACTGCGTTCTTAAGTCGAAATGTTCTGAAGTCGAAGCACCATTTCCCATGGGAATGCATTGAAACCCATTTAATCCGTATCTGCTGTTTTTGTTCTTAAGTTGAGGCGCTGTTCTTAAGTCGAAGCATTAGCTACCATAGGAACTACAGTGGGGTCTTGACTTGAGAACTTAATCCGTATTGGAAGGCGGTTCTCAAGTCAAAAAGTCTGTAAGTCAAGTCTCCATTGACCTACAGTGCATTGAAAACCGATTAATCCCGTAACAGGCCGTTTTTGTTCCATTTTGGTTTTTTTCTGGTCTGTAAGTCAAATCTCAGTCTGCAAGTCAAACCTAAATTTTGCGGCCAGAGAAGTCTGTAACTCAAAAAGTCTGTAAGTCAAGCCGTCTGTAAGTCAAGGGTCCACTGTAATGCAAAGCTGGTTAATCCGTATCTGCCACTAGGGGGTGATTTTTCTTCTTCTTTTGACCTAAGGTGAATTTAGGTAAAAAAAAGGGGGGGAAGGAAAGGTTTCTTTTTTTTCTTTTTTCTTTTGGTTCTTAAGTCGAGGTTCCATTCTCAAGTCGAAGCAACTTTTTGTGAACGGAGCCGTTCTTAACTCGAACCATTCTTATGTAGGGACGTTCTCAAGTCGAGGTACCACTGTAGATGAAATACTTGGGTCTGAATATATTTCCTCAATCCATAAGCACTTGAGGCTGGGTCAATGCTAGTTCCTGGATCAATAACATGTCCCAATGACTGAATTTTGTGTATCATAATTCCTAGTCTGAATGCAAAGTGTATCAGTCTCCCAATATATTTATGTCAAAATAAGCAATCTGGCTGTTGCGTTTTGGACCCACTGAAATTTCCTGATATTTTCCATAGGCCTTCCCACATAGGATGTATTACAGTAATCCGGCTGAGATGAAGCTAGGGCATGTGTCACTGTGGCCAGATCAGACCTATCAAGGAGTGAGCACAGTTGCTGTACTAGTTTTAATTGTGCAAATGCACTCCTTGCCACTTTTATACAAAATAGAAAACTATACTTTAGATCCTGGTTAAGTTCTGGGATGAAGTATGTTACAAGATGTTACAAGGAATAAACATTTCTGCACATAAGGAGGTCCATTTATAAGCATAACCTCCATATAATCAGATAAGAATGAGATCAACCAGCTACTATTAATGCTCACCATCCTTCTGATTCTTCCCTGAACAGATGTTTGGTACTGACCACCTGTTGGAATGAAAGAGAATCAGGTCCTTGGGGAAATGATGGCTTCTT